AATTAGGGTTGTAGTTGAAGAGTTTGTAAATTGCGTTGCCTGGCAACGCAATCGCACAACGTCACGTCCGTTAATTCCACATCCTCACCTCCACACACATGGATTAACATCGATTTAATACATTAATGTAGCCTTTGTTTCTGCTAAAAGAGGTGTCGACCAGCTAGGGAAACAAGAAAATCGGCGAAATCAAGTGTGATGATTCAAAAATAAATTAAAAACATCTCATTTTGACAATAAAAACCGACCAATAGGCGCAGTAGACCATTTGCTAGGCACTTCCGGGTATTTCTCCACTGGTTGGGCCATGTTAACAATACCGTGTAACTGTCACGTTTGAAGGGACGAAACCGTGACATATTCACGTCTCCCAGCATGGAAGATCGTCACATGTTCACGTCTTGCCGTGATACCGGGTTGCATTTTAGTGTGTTAGCAACTGAAAAAAAACTGTAATCATTGAAAAAGATGACTTTTTTTTCACAATATTAACAATATTATGTTACTGTTCCAAACCCAGGTTATTTGTGTTGTGTTGCTTTACTCGATATGACTATTTTTCGACTGTTGCCGGGCAGAATAGAGGTGAAAAAAATGAACTGGTTTGGGCTAAATAAAAACAAAGTCCGCATATACTTGTTTTTCTCGGTCTATTTAGAGTCACCTTGTCAATCCTTGTAGGTTTTTCTGTGTCTTTTTTTGCAGTAACCAAGTCAGCAGCAGCATTTAGCATTTAGCATTTAACCAATACAGCTCTTGCAACACTGGATTTGGTCATGGGCTGTCTTGTAACAATATGCTTACATTTCTTTCCCAAGATCATGTCTCACTGAATGTTACAGTGAAAAACACCATTTGTCAGAAGTGGGATTCGAACCCACGCCTCCAGAGGAGACTGCGACCTGAACGCAGCGCCTTAGACCGCTCGGCCATCCTGACTGAAAAAGTCAATTCTACAGTACATTTTGCCTGAAAAATAAAACTCAGAAATGTTCATTAATGAACTGACCCATTAATGAACAGCCCCTCGCACTTCCCCGGGTTGTTTTACCTCATTCCACAGGTAAAGCTAACTGGAATATCGCCTACTTTGATTTAAAAGAACTATTTAAGAGGTTGATGTAGCTTAGTTGGTTAAAGTGCCTGTCTAGTAAACAGGAGATCCTAGGTTCAAATCCCAGCAGTGCCTTATTGTAGCACAGACATGCTCTCTCTTTGGCCTACTTGAATAAGTCATAAAGGTTCCAGATACCCTAAGGAGTTAATTGAAACCAAAAAGTTGTCAAGCCTCGGTATTGCAACAATGTTTGCAAAAGCTTCTTGCGACACAATATAGTGTCCACTTTGGCACTAAAGAGTTAAGCAATTTAACATTTTCGATAATGGATGCTTAGTCTTGTGAACGTGTTTCCTTCTGAATAAGGATGGAAAGGACAAGGACCCTACTGACCCAAAGCTTTTACAATTAGCAGAGGATGGTTTCGATCCATCGACCTCTGGGTTATGGGCCCAGCACGCTTCCGCTGCACCACTCTGCTCACCTCTTTGAATCCAACGCTGTCAAAAATGTGGATGACGGATTGTTTGAACATTTGGAACCTGGGAGAACCGACATTTCAGCAGCTTCCATGTTGGATTTTGGAACCAGGATAGCTAACAGGTGTGTTTTAACCATGTGCTGTACGTGTCATTTTAGTGTGTTAGCAACTGAAAAAAACTGTAATCATTGAAAAAGATGACTTTTTTTCACAATATTAACAATATTATGTTACTGTTCCAAACCCAGGTTATTTGTGTTGTGTTGCTTTACTCGATATGACTATTTTCGACTGTTGCCGGGCAGAATAGAGGTGAAAAAAATGAACTGGTTTGGGCTAAATAAAAACAAAGTCCGCATATACTTGTTTTTCTCGGTCTATTTAGAGTCACCTTGTAGATCCTTGTAGGTTTTTCTGTGTCTTTTTTTGCAGTAACCAAGTCAGCAGCAGCATTTAGCATTTAGCATTTAACCAATACAGCTCTTGCAACACTGGATTTGGTCATGGGCTGTCTTGTAACAATATGCTTACATTTCTTTCCCAAGATCGTGTCTCACTGAATGTTACAGTGAAAAACACCATTTGTCAGAAGTGGGATTCGAACCCACGCCTCCAGAGGAGACTGCGACCTGAACGCAGCGCCTTAGACCGCTCGGCCATCCTGACTGAAAAAGACAATTCCACAGTACATTTTGCCTGAAAAATAAAACTCAGAAATGTTCATTAATTAACTGACCCATTAATGAACAGCCCCTCACACTTCCCCGGGTTGTTTTACCTCATTCCACAGGTAAAGCAAACTGGAATATCCCCTACTTTGATTTAAAAGAAGAACTATTTAAGAGGGTGATGTAGCTTAGTTGGTTTAAAGTGCCTGTCTAGTAAACAGGAGATCCTAGGGTTCAAATCCCAGCAGTGCCTTATTGTAGCACAGACTATGCTCTCTCTTTGGCCTACTTGAATAAGTCATAAAGGTTCCAGATACCCTAAGGAGTTAATTGAAACCAAAAAGTTGTCAAGTCTCGGTATTGCAACAATGTTTGCAAAAGCTTCTTGCGACACAATATAGTGTCCACTTTGGCACTAAAGAGTTAAGCAATTTAACATTTTCGATAATGGATGCTTTGTCTTGTAACGTGTTTCCTTCTGAATAAGGATGGAAAGGCCAAGGACCCTACTGACCCAAAGCTTTTACAATTAGCAGAGGATGGTTTCGATCCATCGACCTCTGGGTTATGGGTCCAGCACGCTTCCGCTGCGCCACTCTGCTCACCTCTTTGAATCCAACGCTCTCAAAAATGTGGATGACGGATTGTTTGAACATTTGGAACCTGGGAGAACCGACATTTCAGCAGCTTACATGTTGGATTTTGGAACCATGATAGCTAACAGGTGTGTTTTAACCATGTGCTGTACGTATCATTTTAGTGTGTTAGCAACTGAAAAAAACTGTAATCATTGAAAAGATGACTTTTTTTTCACAATATTAACAATATTATGTTACTGTTCCAAACCCAGGTTATTTGTGTTGTGTTGCTTTACTCGATATGACTATTTTTCGACTGTTGCCGGGCAGAATAGAGGTGAAAAAAATGAACTGGTTTGGGCTAAATAAAAACAAAGTCCGCATATACTTGTTTTTCTCTGTCTATTTAGAGTCACCTTGTAGATCCTTGTAGGTTTTTCTGTGTCTTTTTTTTGTAGTAACCAAGTCAGCAGCAGCATTTAGCATTTAACCAATACAGCTCTTGCAACACTGGATTTGGTCATGGGCTGTCTTGTAACAATATGCTTACATTTCTTTCCCAAGATCGTGTCTCACTGAATGTTACAGTGAAAAACACCATTTGTCAGAAGTGGGATTCGAACCCACGCCTCCAGAGGAGACTGCGACCTGAACGCAGCGCCTTAGACCGCTCGGCCATCCTGACTGAAAAAGACAATTCTCCAGTACATTTTGCCTGAAAAATAAAACTCAGAAATGTTCATTAATGAACTGACCCATTAATGAACAGTCCCCTCCCACTTCCCGGGTTGTTTTACCTCATTCCACAGGTAAAGCTAACTGGAATATCCCCTACTTTGATTTAAAAGAAGAACTATTTAAGAGGTTGATGTAGCTTAGTTGGTTAAAGTGCCTGTCTAGTAAACAGGAGATCCTAGGTTCAAATCCCAGCAGTGCCTTATTGTAGCACAGACATGCTCTCTCTTTGGCCTACTTGAATAAGTCATAAAGGTTCCAGATACCCTAAGGAGTTAATTGAAACCAAAAAGTTGTCAAGCCTCTGTATTGCAACAATGTTTGCAAAAGCTTCTTGCGACACAATATAGTGTCCACTTTGGCACTAAAGAGTTAAGCAATTTAACATTTTCGATAATGGATGCTTAGTCTTGTGAACGTGTTTCCTTCTGAATAAGGATGGAAAGGACAAGGACCCTACTGACCCAAAGCTTCTACAATTAGCAGAGGATGGTTTCGATCCATCGACCTCTGGGTTATGGGCCCAGCACGCTTCCGCTGCGCCACTCTGCTCACCTCTTTGAATCCAACGCTGTCAAAAATGTGGATGACGGATTGTTTTGAACATTTGGAACCTGGGAGAAACCGACATTTCAGCAGCTTCCATGTTGGATTTTGGAACCAGGATAGCTAACAGGTGTGTTTTAACCATGTGCTGTACGTGTCATTTTAGTGTGTTAGCAACTGAAAAAAACTGTAATCATTGAAAAAGATGACTTTTTTTCACAATATTAACAATATTATGTTACTGTTCCAAACCCAGGTTATTTGTGTTCTGTTGCTTTACTCGATATGACTATTTTTCGACTGTTGCCGGGCAGAATAGAGGTGAAAAAAAATGAACTGAAGTTACCTACTGTAACTCCAGCTTCTATGAGTATTGGCGTAGCCCTCTAAGGCTATCGCTATTGGGTAATCCCCCTGCGCACCCGCGCAACACTGAAAACACTTGTAGTCCACGCCCGCCCGCAAGGTGGGCCCCACCCACGGGCTCCCTTCCGGTATAAATAGGAAGGGGACCCGACAACCTGCTCCCACACAAAAACTTTTTCTTCAGCTATTCGTGGAGCCAGTGGGGCCCAGAACTTAGAGGGCTACGCCAATACTCATAGAAGCTGGAGTTACAGTAGGTAACTTCAGTTCTATTTCGTATATGGCTTCGCCCTCTAAGGCTATCGCTATTGGGTTAAGGGCGAAGCAAGATGTAGTCTGCGCCCCACTGGGTTGCCCCGGTACAAGAAGCACAAACACACCTGCTCAGATAATAACCCATGCGAATGGCGCATCACAGTCCCTGGAATATATCATAACATGAATATTTACCATGAGAGGACGAAGGCTGGGAATAATACATACCCGTCCGCTGTGAGAAAGTAGAGACGAAAGTCACACTTTGCCCAGTGACAGAAAGGAGGGGAATAGCAGCTCTCTGGGTGCAGACAGGCAGAAGAGCGCACAGCTGGGTCCCCAACATCACACACTCTGACAAGACATTCCGTACGAAATGTGTCAGGGGAAAAAAAGGGGGACGTCCCTCTCGTAAGAGGGAAACACAGGCCATTCTCCATGTGCCGAGGCAGGAGAAAGGCGCACAGCTGGATCCCTGACGTCACTCACTCTGACAGGACACTCAGCACAGGGTGTGTCAAAGAGGAATGGGACACATCCCTCAAATAAAATTGAATAAATGAACAGGGAGAAGACCAGGATGCAGCAATGCAAATGTCTTCCACTGACATTCCTCCGTGCAAAGCCGTGGAGGAGGAAATTCCTCTGGTGGAATGCGCATTAATGTTCTCCGGAGGATCCATCCCAGAGGAGACATATGCCTGTGATACAGCCTCACACAGCCAGTGTGACAGCCGCTGTGCAGACAGAGGCTGCCCGATCGAGCGCTCTCTGTAGTGCACAAACAGGCGCTGAGAACGGCGCAAGGCAGCTGTGCGTGCTACATAGCAGGACAGCGCGCGCACAGGACAGAGGAGATGAGACGTGGCTTCTTCCTCCGACCTGTGAGGAGGGGGAAAGAAGCCATCCAGGGTGATCACCCTCGACCTAAAAGAGCTTGTGATGACTTTTGGCATAAAAGCTGGGTTAGGGCGTAAAACAGCTGAACTGCCATCTCCTTGGATCCGGAGGCATGACGGAGCCACAGAGAGAGCAGACAAATCACTCACCCTCTTTGCTGATGTTAGAGCCAAAAGTAGTACTACTTTGGCTGATAACATCTTAAGGGGAACCTGATCTAAAGGTTCAAATGGGGCTTTGCTTAGTGCGCGTAACACCAAAGCCAAATCCCACTGAGGCGCTAGTGCGTGTGACACAGGTCTGAGTCTCCGTACTCCTCGCAGAAAACGTTTCATCAGGGGGTGACTAAACACCGTCCCGACCCCGAAACCCACATGACAAGATGATATGGCAGCAGCATACACCTTGATTGTGTTGAAAGCCAAATTCCTGTCCAACAACAGCTGGAGGAATGACAGCACGTGAGGCAGGGGGCACGTAATGGGGTCCAGGCTTTTCTCTACACACCAACGCTGGAACGCTGTCCACTTGGCTGTGTAGGTCGCTCTGGTAGACGCGGCCCTGGCTCCCTGAATGGTCCGGATAACATCTTGAGAGAGGCCCAGCCCCTCTAAGTGTTCCCGTTCAGGGGCCATGCCCATAAGTGCTGGCCTATCACAGGGTGACTGTTGATCGCTCCCTCCACCTGCGAGAGAGCGTCCCCGCGCCACAGAATTTCCCACGGTCTGCCTGACAGCGTACGCTGTAGGCATGGAAACCAGGAAGCGCCCGTGCGCTCCGGGGCAATTAGGATCACTGACAGTCGCTCCTCCTGCACTCGGTCCAGGAACCGAGGGATCAGCGGGACTGGTGGGAAGGCGTACAACAGTCCCCCTGGCGAGGACCTCCTCTGGACATGAGGCCTGCCCCTCTGTTCAGCTCGCCGGGAACATACATTGCTCTGATGGAGAGCAAGTGTGCGCGCGCCCAGATCAACAGCGGCCTGGCTGTGTTCAAAAGCTGCGCTGAGCGTACTCCGCCCTGGCGATTGATGTAAGCTGCCGCGGCTTTGTTGTCTGTGCGAATCAACACATGCTGATTCCGTAGCAACGGGGCAAAATACTGGATTACTCTCCGTACGGAGAGCAATTCCAGCACGTTTATGTGGAGGGACATGTGAGCCGGCCACTGTCCCCCCACTGCCTGTGACATACACGTTCCTCCCCACCCTGAGAGAGATGCGTCTGTGAACACCGAGATGTGTGACGTAACTCTGCCCAGGGGCACACAGGACGTGGGGACTTTTCCAATAGGTTAAGTCTGAACCCACGGAAGGAGGGATGGCCACCATGCGCCTCTTCTGTCGCACGGGGTCGATGCGCAGGCGAATAAACCACCTCTGGAGTCTCCTCATGTGAAGGAGACCCAGGGGAATCACCACGTGACCAGCTGCCATCATGCCAAGCAGCTGCATTACGGAGAGAGCTGTCACCACGCTGCAGGGTGTGACGCGTCGGAGAAGAGCTGTCAGTGCCTCCACTCTCTGCTGTGAGAGTCGCGCTCTCATGCGGGCTGAGTTCAATTCCAGACCTAGGTAAATAATACTCTGGGAGGGAAGAGGGCAGCTCTTCTTCCAATTTATGATGAAACCCAGCTTTGACAGATGTGATACAAGCTGTACCGTCTGTAAAGCAACTTCCTCTCTGGATCGAGCTAGCAATAGCAAGTCGTCCAGGTAAAACAGCACTCTCATCCCTCCTCTGTGAAGCGGCTGCAGCGCCGTCTCTACACATTTCGAAAAAGTGCGAGGAGCCAGGGAATAACCGAACGGCAGACGGTTGTACTGGTACGGTATTCCCTGGAATGAGAAACGCAGGTATTTCCTGTGTTTTGGGATGATGGCTACGTGGAAGTAAGCATCCTTCAGGTCTATCGATGTGAACCAGTCCCCCTGGTGAACACACTCCAGCACCTGTCTGATCGTCAGCATGTGAAAAGGCCTTTTCATTATGACCTTGTTGAAAACTGACAGATCGAGGATGGGTCTCATCCCCCCTGTCTTTTTCGGGACAAGAAAATAACGGGAGTAATACCCCTGATTTTCTTCCCCTTGAGGAACCCTGGAAATAGCCTCTTTCAACAGGAGTTCCCGCAGCTCTGTCTGGAGCGCAAGACACTGTTCTTGGGATGACAGGAGTGTTTCCTGTATCCCATTGAACTGTGGGGGGGGGGAGGCGAACTGCAGGGTGTACCCTCTGCTGATCAGCCTGCTCATCCATCTGTCCATCAGACACACGCGCTGCCACTCTGAGAAATTCTCTGAGAGCGGGCGCACATGGTCGAGATGTGTTGTGGTCGTTTTGGCAACGAGCCACGTCAGAGCCCTTGCCGCCGCTGCCTGTGAGGCAACCCAAGGTGGGCCTGACGCGAAAGGGCTGTGAGGGAGCCTCCACACGTTGCGTTTCACTCTGGCTCTCATCATGAGGCGTGTACACGCTCAGGGGATGAATGGAGACAGTGTTAACCACATGAGGCGTTATAACGGCGCTCATGGGTTTATTATGACCGTGTGTAGGAGACGTATCTCGGATAGAGGAATGCCGCGAACTCTGCGGTTTATTAACCGATAGGTTAAAACCAGCAGGTTTCTGCAGCGAGCCCTGCTGCCTACTAATCAACAGATTGATGGCAGCTGGCTTAGTTGGCGAACTCTGCAGTTTATTAATCGATAGATTAAAAAGTGCAGGTTTTCGCAACGAACCCTGCTGGCTACTAACCGATAGGTTATAGGCAGCTGGTTTACACAGAGTGGAGGATATGTGAGAAACACTTGATGATACTGATGACTCAGACAAAAAGTTGAAAAATGAACCCATTTTATTAGTCTCACTATCCCCCCCAACACGTCAAAGGCGGCTCTGTTTTTTTGGAGGCTCACGTGGAGCGGAAACAGAGCGGGAGTGCCCCCCTCCCCGTTGGCTCACCGCCGAGAGACCCCTCCGTCTCTGGGGTGGCGGGGGAGCGGAGACGCGGGGCGGAGCCCCTGCCGCCGCCGACGGGCGCTGACGCCGCGGTTGCGGTTGGTATCTCTCCGCCTGCCGCCGTGGCCACCCCTCCCTGGTTGGACGCTGCGGCTGCTGCGGCCGCTGCGGCTGCTGCGGGTGTTGGTGCCGCCCAGCAGGCTGGAGCCAGCTGACGTGCTGGCGGATGTCGTCTGCCTGTTCCGCAGCCGCCTTCATGGATTCCACCATGGCGTGGAACTGGGGTCCGAACAGCCCGTCCGGGCTGATTGGAGCATCCAGCAGCACTTTTCTGGCCGTTTCCGTAACGGACGCCTGCTGCAGCCAGAGGTGGCGCTGGATTTGCGTCACCCACGCGGCGATTCTGGCCTGGGAGACAGCAACAGACGCACACAGTGTGAGCGCCGTGCTGGCAGCCTTGGCGATCTCTTCCGCTTCGTCAGCGGCCAAGGTGGTGGACCGCTCCACCAGCGTCACCACCGAATTGGACAGCAGCGCGATGTTGTTTGCCACCGCCGACGCCTGAAAGGCACACTGGTGCACCCGGTCGGCCTGGCGGGCAACATACTGGTCCCTGGGGGAGGCCAACGTAGGGCGCCGTCCGGCGATCATGTTGGCCTGCCTTACCCCAAAAAACGCCGTCAGGCCCGGCTCCAGCGAAGGGGTGGCTGGGAATCCCTCGTCTGTAAAACCCTCCACCTTGGTGAGGGGAACAAACGTGGACACCGGGGCCTTGAGAGTCCTCGGGTTCGCCGCCGCCCCCTCCTGGTACCTCCTGATGGCGGGAAAGCGTGGCCAGATCGGGTCACTCCTGACCGTCTGCACCCGCGAAAAAACTCCGGCCATGTCGTCCGGAGCACTCCTCTCCTGAGCTGGGGGAACGGGGAGACCTCTGCAGGCGGCCGCCTTGCAGATGATCCCCGGCAGTTCCAGCAGGATGCCACCTATCGCCGGCAGCGCCGTGGTGGCGGAGAGGGGACCGCGTGCTCGGCCAAGTCGACACCCTGCTCCGACTCTGTCTCCCCCGTCCGGGGGAGAGGAGAGAGGGGAGAACCATACGGTGAACCGTGGAGGGAGATGGGGTAGGAGTCGTCCGACTCCTGCCCGGCACTCGGCTCCAGGGGCACGTTTCGGCTCCAGGAGGACGAATCGTCATCCTCGGTCGCAGCAGCGAGAGCGTCCGCTCTACGCTTCCTGTCGGCCGAGGGGAGATAGGCACAGTGCTGGCATGCGATCTGCTGGCTGAGAGCCGCGTACGCGTGCTCTGGCCCCAGACAGAATTCGCATTCAGTGTGCCGATCATAACAAAAAATATATCCGTTTCCACATGAGGGACAATCTCTTACACAATCGTTGCTCATGGTTTCTCGGATATACGTCTCAGTGCTTCAGTAACTCGGGGTGCTGAAGAAAAAGAGGGAGCAGGTTGTCGGGTCCCCTTCCTATTGATACCGGAAGGGAGCCCGTGGGTGGGGCCCACCTTGCGGGCGGGCGTGAACTACAAGTGTTTTCAGTGCTGCGCGGGTGCGCAGGGGGATTACCCAATAGCGATAGCCTTAGAGGGCGAAGCCATATACGAAATAGAACTGGTTTGGGCTAAATAAAAACAAAGTCCGCATATACTTGTTTTTCTCGGTCTATTTAGAGTCACCTTGTAGATCCTTGTAGGTTTTTCTGTGTCTTTTTTTTGTAGTAACCAAGTCAGCAGCAGCATTTAGCATTTAACCAATACAGCTCTTGCAACACTGGATTTGGTCATGGGCTGTCTTGTAACAATATGCTTACATTTCTTTCCCAAGATCATGTCTCACTGAATGTTACAGTGAAAAACACCATTTGTCAGAAGTGGGATTCGAACCCACGCCTCCAGAGGAGACTGCGACCTGAACGCAGCGCCTTAGACCGCTCGGCCATCCTGACTGAAAAAGACAATTCTACAGTACATTTTGCCTGAAAAATAAAACTCAGAAATGTTCATTAATTAACTGACCCATTAATGAACAGCCCCTCGCACTTCCCCGGGTTGTTTTACCTCATTCCACAGGTAAAGCAAACTGGAATATCCCCTACTTTGATTCAAAAGAAGAACTATTTAAGAGGGTGCTGTGGCTTAGTTGGTTAAAGTGCCTGTCTAGTAAACAGGAGATCCTGGGTTCAAATCCCAGCAGTGCCTTATTGTAGCACAGATATGCTCTCTCTTTGGCCTACTTGAATAAGTCATAAAGGTTCCAGATACCCTAAGGAGTTAATTGAAACCAAAAAGTTGTCAAGTCTCGGTATTGCAACAATGTTTGCAAAAGCTTCTTGCGACACAATATAGTGTCCACTTTGGCACTAAAGAGTTAAGCAATTTAACATTTTCGATAATGGATGCTTTGTCTTGTAAACGTGTTTCCTTCTGAATAAGGATGGAAAGGACAAGGACCCTACTGACCCAAAGCTTTTACAATTAGCAGAGGATGGTTTCGATCCATCGACCTCTGGGTTATGGGCCCAGCACTCTTCCGCTGCGCCACTCTGCTCACCTCTTTGAATCCAACGCTGTCAAAAATGTGGATGACGGATTGTTTGAACATTTGGAACCTGGGAGAACCGACATTTCAGCAGCTTACATGTTGGATTTTGGAACCATGATAGCTAACAGGTGTGTTTTAACCATGTGCTGTACGTATCATTTTAGTGTGTTAGCAACTGAAAAAAACTGTAATCATTGAAAAAGATGACTTTTTTTCACAATATTAACAATATTATGT